TTGAGGTCCAGACTAAATTATAGCCTAAATTTTCAAGCAGGCGCCTTGGTCTGATTCTTTGGGCCAGCAGCGAAGGAAGAGTGGCTTGGGAAAAGAGGCGCCTCTCCTGATTTGGACCTTCATTTGACCAGCTAACCAAAAACTACAAATTCTCCCGCAGCCACCTCCTCCCAAGCTCTGACCCGGAGTTTCGGCACAAAGGAGCGCCAGGGAAGCCTTGATCCAAGGACTTCCAGGAAGAGGAGTGACCGACGCAAGGGGGAAAACGTCCGGACGGGTAAGAGAAAGCAACCGTGGGTCGCCCCGGTGGTCGTCAGGTGGGAGGGGTTCTAGACTGTCCCGAACCAGCTTCGGAGTTGGCCCACTGGGAAGGGATCCTCTGGGACTCGGTAACAAATTCCTGACTGGGGGTGGCGAACATCCAGGCGTCTGAGGTCCAGGCCTTGCAATTCAGCTCGCTTTTGCGGACCTGACGGGAGCTACGTGGGAAAGGGAGTCCTCCCCTTTTGACTGCCTAGCTGTCAGGTGCTGATCGCCCCGAGCTCTCCTATCCAGGAACTCTTCAGGTTCTGGCCCTGCCTTGCGGTTGGGGGGGGCTTCCCTGATTAACCACTGGTCTGTGGGGCTGGTAGAGAGAGAGGGGCGTCTGTGGGTCTGGGATCACACGTCCCGTTTCATCAGATACACCTTTAGGAAGAGTACTGGCGGAATGAAACGGGGTTGCGTCGCCGACGCAGGCCAGTATGGTAAAAATTGCATGAAGAAGTGGCCCGCCAGGCCCTTAGAAGGTGGAGTTTCGTGGCCCCCTCACGGCAGTCGGATCGCTGTGAGAGAGCCAAGTGGACCGAACTCGCCTATGCCTCATGCCTTTTTGCCTTGTGCCGGAAGGGGGGTGGAGGGAGGAGATTGTGCCCAACTTTGACCATGCAAAAGGAAGGCCACAAGTCACCCCCTCCTCCCAGAGACCCCCCCTCCAGACCTTTCCCCCCCTCCCTTTGAAAATTGCTTGTTCCCCTACCATCCCATTCCCATTTCCCTTTACCCAATCTCCCTGACTCCTTCCTCCCCTTTCCAACCCCTCCATTTCCCTATTCCCTATTTATGATATGTCTGCATTTATATGCCCCTTCCATTTTTTTCTGCTCCTTGAGGAAATGCACTAGGGAAATTCTTTGCTCTCCTCCTCTCCTGCTTTCTCCTGTGCCATCTTTTCCTTCCTTCAGATGGGAAAAGAAGGCATTGCTCATTCCCTTCTTCACCAAGCTACTACAAATCCCTTTCTTTCAAAAGCTAAATCTTCAGTGCCTTGTGTGTTTCTCCCCACCAGGAGAGACCCTGCCACTGATGTGACTCAGCTGCCTTGCAAAAGTCTGTCTCTCTCGCCCTCCCCTGGTTTCCCTGACCCAAGAGCTCTCTTCTTCTCCCCTTCTCTTCTGTGCAACTACAAAACCCATTTTTCAGAGGCAGTCACCAATGTCCCTGCCTTTTCCTTTGCTTTCTCTTTACTCCCCAACTTCCCCTCTTTTTTTGCTTTCAAACCCCTCCTCCCTTTCTCCTCTTGCAAACAAAGGGAGGTGTAGGGGGGGACCTTTTTTTCTGTTCCTGTTTCCTTTTGCCAAATAAAGTTTGCTGGGTCTCTCTCTCTCTCTCTCTCTTCTCCCTCCCCTCCCATTTTCTAAGAAGCCAGTATTCTGTAAATTCTTTCCTCTATCTCCCAGAGAAATCCTGCTGCTCCCTCTTACCTCCTTCTTCTCAACCCCAAGGAAGAGAAGTTCCAGAAGCACTCCCTCCTGACATTTCACCCACATCTATGGTTAAGTCTCTCTCTCACATACACAGTCCCCCTGATGCTTTTTTTCCTTCCTGGCCCTTCCTCCCTCCCTCTTCCCTGAGCGCATGTATGTGTATGTCTAAATTATCCCATTAACTGCCTTAAATATGAGGAGGACGTCGAGGTCCAGGGGTCCCCTCTGCGCAGTGAAGAGACCACCAGACATCAGATCGAACTGTGGGACCCATAATCCACTCCTGCCGCTGAGGACAACTACCTGGGTGAGGTGAACAATGGGAGGTCTGTGGACTTTCCTGTGTGGAACCCAGATGGCACAGGAAGATCCTAGGAGAGCGGGACCAGACCCCATGCCGCCCAGAAGAGACAGCCCCTCCTAGAGGCTGATCTGAGCCCCCACGGGGGAATGCCATCGCAGGAGGAGCAACCAGGATCCCACAGCAACTGCCATGAAGGAAGGAGGCCCTGCCCGTTCCAGAAGCTGTGCAGAGGAGTGGCCCAAAGGAGACCACTGAAGTCCTCACTAGGTATGAAAGTTTTCCCTTTGTTTCCCTACTAACTACCCTTGGGCTGGGAAAGGGGGGGTGGGGGGGGCTGTAAACCTTCTTTCTGACTGTCCTAGACACTACCCCTGAGTCTCTGTGATGATGGAGAGCCGGACCTGTCTGCGGTCACCAGGAGGCGCCACGCCAGAAGGAGTAGCAAGGCTGTGCCCCATCTTCTTCTTCTTCGGCTGCTCTCCTTGTTTCAGTACCAAGGGAGGAGCCAGCACCCCCAGGAGGCCTGAGGACCACTTTTTTTTGAGTTTTTGTTTTTTTTTCCCTTTTTCCTCCCCCCTGCTTTCCCCCCTTTTCCCCCCCCCTTCCCCCCCCGTTGTCGTTGATCCTTATTGGCTAGTTGGATGTTTTGTTTTACAGATTCTCTGGGTTTATTTTCCCCCCCCCCCCCCCCCCCCCCCCCCCCCCCCCCCCCCCCCCCCCCCCCCCCCCCCCCCCCCCCCCCCCCCCCCCCCCCCCCCCCCCCCCCCCCCCCCCCCCCCCCCCCCCCCCCCCCCCCCCCCCCCCCCCCCCCCCCCCCCCCCCCCCCCCCCCCCCCCCCCCCCCCCCCCCCCCCCCCCCCCCCCCCCCCCCCCCCCCCCCCCCCCCACCTCCCCCCCCCCCCCCCCCCCCCCCCCCCCCCCCCCCCCCCCCCCCCCCCCCCCACCCCACCCCCCCACATATTTATTTTTTTTTTTGTTTTCACCTTTTTTTTATTTTTTTTTTCCCCCCCTTCCCTTCCCTTCCCCCGTTCCGTTTTCCTCGGCCCCTCCTCCCACCCACAACTCCCGCCTCCACTGCCCAAACACCCCCCCCCCCCCCCCCCCCCCCCCCCCCACCCCGCCCCCCCCCCCCCCCCGCCCACCCCCCCCCCCCCCCCCCCCCCCCCCCCCCCCCCCCCCCCCCCCCCCCCCCCCCCCCCCCCCCCCCCGCCCCCCCCCCCCCCCCCCCCCCCCCCCCCCCCCCCCCCCCCCCCCCCCCCCCCCCCCCCCCCCCCCCCCCCCCCCCCCCCACCACCCCGCCCCATCTTCTTCTTCTTCGGCTGCTCTCCTTGTTTCAGTACCAAGGGAGGAGCCAGCGCCCCCAGGAGGCCTGAGGACCACTGCCAGATGGGAGAATTCCACCATGTGCCATCCTTCTCCATTGGGGACTCACTCGGGACCCCTGAGTGCTCCATGCTGACTGCCATCACAGACTCCATCATCCCCTGCCTCCACCGTCTTCACCTTCTTACTTCAGTCTTATTTTTTTTTCTTTCTCCAACCCAAAGGACACACTGCCGCTGGTCTCTCCCACCCTGCTGGGTCCTGCTGTTGTTGCTTAAGTTGGGCCCCAAAATAATCAACAAGGACATGGACCACCCCGGCCAGATCAGCCTTTACGAGGTACGATCGCAGTTGGCGCATGAGTCTCAATTGTGCAAAAGCCCTCCTGGACACTGCCGACGCCTGAGCCTCAAGCCTAAGTGATGAATCCAAGAGGACTCCCAACCTGCAGACCTGTGACTTCAGGGGGAGTGTAACCCCGTCCAGCGCAGGTTGCCACCCTATACCCCGATCCGGTTTACGATCGACCAGGAGGACCTCTGTCTTGTCGGGATTGATCTTCAGCTTGTTCCTCCTCATCCAGATAGACACAGCGGCCAAGCACCCGTCCAGCACCCGAGGGGCCTCCTTGGAGTTAGGTGGAAATGAGTAGTAGAGTTGTGTGTCATCTGCGTAGAGGTGGCACCTAACTCCAAAACTCCGGATGACCTCTCCCAGCGGTTTCACGTAGATGTTAAAAAGCATGGGAGACAGAATAGAGCCTTGCGGGACTCCACAGGTCAAAGGCCAAGGGTCCGAGCAGGCGTCTCCCAGTTTCACCACCTGGGATCGACCATCCAGGAAGGACTGGAGCCACGACAAAACCGTGCCGAGACCCATCCCAGAGAGTCGACCCAGAAGGATACCATGATCGATGGTATCGAAAGCCGCTGAGATGTCCAAGAGAACCAACAGAGTCACACTCCCCCTGTCCAGCTCTCTACGGAGGTCATCCACCAAGGCGACCAAGGCCGTCTCGGTGCCGTGTCCAGGCCTGAAACCAGACTGTGACTGATCTAGGTAGTTGTTGTCATCTAGAAAGCCCTGGAGCCAGGAGGCGACCACCCGCTCCAGCACCTTGCCCAAGAAAGGGAGGTTGGAGATTGGTCTGAAGTTGTTCAGCACCGTGGAGTTGAGGGAGACCTTTTTAAATCCCTCCAAAGACCTCCAGGATTTTTTGTTGGTCATGCGGGCTCTGTGTGCCAAGTTTGGTCCAATTCCATCTTTGGTGGAGTTCGGTTGCAGGTGAACTATACATCCCAATACTCAAACCTCTAGTATGTTCAGTTGCTGATCAATTCCTCTGTTTGCTGTGGGCCATTGAAAAGAATAGGAAAGGGTTAAGGGAGAGGCAGTGGTCAATGTCACGCAAATTCCACACCAATGGAGAGAGTAAGGAACACTGGGATGCCTGTGGTGGAGGAAACACATGAAATCAAGGATGAAATGGTCCCTCACTATAACCTGCAATGTAATTGAAGGGAGGGCCATTGGTGTCCCCTGCATGGGCACCCCAGCCACATGCACACACATGTATTTTCATTTTTATTATATGTATAGCATTGCTTCCCAATAGAAAACAAACAATGCTGGAATATATACAAGTTTATTCAGTGAACAATATAATTTCAGAATAATTTCGATGTAAATCAGTCCCTTTCTCCCCGAAAATTCGACATTCGATCCTTATTATCTTCATCATTAACATTAATAACAATAATTGCAAAGATGGCTAATGACTCTTTTCCCCCCAATTAATTCTGATTTTTTTAAAATATCTTTAAATAATAATTTCAATAATATTTTCCCCATTTAATTCTGTAATAAATTCCAAATTTAATTCCATTTTTAAGGTAGAACTGTAAATGAAAAAAAAATATTACTCCAAATTTAATTTGAAATATAATTTATTCCCAAATATATTTCCCAATTTAATGCCACTTTAATTCGAAAATTAATTCCAATTTAATCCTAAAAGTAATGTGTAATTTAATCCAATTTTAATGTGGAATTCCAATTTTGCACCCAAATTTAATTCAAAAATTTAATTTAATTTCCCAATTTAATCCCAAAATTTGTTTACGACTTTTTTCCCCAATTTAATCCTGAAATTCAATTAGAAAATAAATCCTCAATTTAATTCTTAATTTCATCCAATTTTAGTTTGGAATATAATTTCAATTTTATTCCCAAATGTAATTCAATATTTAATTTAACCCCAACCTTTTTTTCCCTGAAATTAATCCCAACATTGAATTCAAGAAATTAATTTAATTCTTAACTTAATCCAAATTTAATTGGGTATTAAATTTATTTTAAAACTTAATTCAAAATATAATTCCTATTTGCATCCTAAATTTAATTCAAAAAGAATTATTACTACTGAATTCCCAATTTAATTTGAGGCATAACTGCAATTTTAATCCCCAAATTTAATTCTAATTTATTTCTCAATTGAATTCCAAAATTTAATTCTAATTTATTTGGGGAATAAAACTGGGAAATCTATCAGAATTAAATTTGGAAATGAAATTAGGAAATAAATTAGAATGAAATTTGGGAATTCAATTAGAATTAAAATAGGGAATTAAATTTGTAAATTAAATTAGAATTAAATTTGGGAATTTAGGATTTGAGAATGAAATTGAGAAATAAATTAGAATTAAATTTGTGGATGAAATTGGGAAAGAAATTAGAATTAAATTTGGGAATTAAATTGGGAAATATATTAGATAGAACCATAAACAACCACTGAAGGGGACAACAAATTGGTCCATCATTTCTTCTTCTTCTTTGTCAAAAGAGTCTTTTTTCCTTTCTTGGGAAAAAAGGGGAGGAACTTCCTTAGTCCCGCCTTCTTTCAAAAAAGGAAGTCCCTTAGCAGGAAACAGGAAGTCACTCGTCATTGGCGGCGCTCGTCCCCCGCACTTCCCCCTGATTCCGCAGCTGAGAAGAAGGAAGAAATTAAAAGGAAATTGATTAATATAATATGAATGAATTGATATAATATTAATTAATTAATAGAACAGAAAGAAAATGGGGGGAGGGAATCAGACAAAAATAAGCAGGAAATAAATGGGAAAAATAACAAATAATAAAATAAATTGTCTTCGCAAATATAACTGGAAAAATTGGGGGGGGGGGAATAAATAATAGAAAGGACTTAGATGTTGGGAAAAAATAAGAAAAAATTAAATAGATAAAATGAAGAGGGGAAACAAATTAAATATAACAAAATAAAGAGGAAACGTAACAGAAAATAACCAATAAAATAAAAGAGAAAATAAGAAATATAATAAAATAAATGGGAAAAACAAAAAAACCCAAATAAAATATAGGGAAAACATATATAACATATATAACAAAGAGGAAAAACAACAAAAAAAGAATAAATAACAAAATACTTGGGAAATAAATAAAATGAATGGGAAAATAACAAAAATACCAAATATAATGAAATACGGGGGGAAATTACAAATAAAATAAAGGATTAAATAAGAAAAATAACAAAGATAAAAAAATAAAATTAGTTTATATTTTCCTTAATTTTGTTATTTTTTTGAAATTTATGTCATTAATTTTCTTGTTATTTTTGGAAAATATTGAAAAATAATTAATATAATAAAATAAAGGTGACATGATAATAACAAATAAAATAAAAAATAGAAGGAAAAATAACAAATAAAGAGCAAAATAAGAATGTAAAAAACACTCAAATGAATATATTATAATAAAATCAAAGGATAAATAACCAATAAAATGAAATGAATACTAACAAAGAATAAAAAATAAAATATAATGAAAAATAATTAAATTATTATTATTTAAATCAACATACAGAGGACTCTGTCTGGGGTTTTGCAAAGGATCTATGAAGGTTTTCCTTCTTTAGACATCATTCGCGGAAGTCCCTCGGACTGGACCCTTCCGGCGGATCTAGAACGCGCGGAATGAAGGACATGTGTCAAAAGAGGAAGGAAGGAAGAAGGACCTGACGGCCTTTGTGGAAAATGCAGAATTTAATGGGAAAAATATTAGAATTTAATCAGGAAGAGTATTAGAAAGACGAGATAGATGACCTGATAGTCTTTGCGGAAAATATAGAATTTAATCAGGAAAATATTAGAATTTAATATAAATTTTTAGAATGGAAGAGCAACAAGACGAGAAAGAAGAGATAGATGACCTGATGGTCTTTAAGGAAAATGTAGAATTTAATGAGGAAAAATATTAGAAAGAAGAGATAGATGACCTGATAGTCTTTGAGAAAAACATAGAATTTAATCAGGAAAAATGTTAGAATATATTACATTATAATACTGTAATATTATATTATCTATATTATATTGATATATTATTGTATTATATTAAAATATATGGTATTAAACTAGAATATATATACTAAACTAGATAAAATGGATAGATAGATAAATAGATAGATACCCTTTGAGGAAAACGTAGAATTTAATGAGGAAAGATATTAGAAAGAAGAGATAGATGACCTGATAGTCTTTTAGGAAAATGTAGAATTTAATCCAGAAAAATATCAGAATTCAAGGTAAAATAGTAAAATGGAAGAGAAACAAGAAGAGAAAGAAGAGATAGATGACCTTATAGTCTTTGAGGAAAATGTAGAATTTAATCCAGAAAAATATCAGAATTCAAGGTAAAATAGTAAAATGGAAGAAAAACAAGAAGAGAAAGAAGAGATAGATGACCTGAGAGTCTTTAAGGAAAATGTAGAATTTAATCAAGAAAAATATTAGAATATTGTTTATATATTAAATTATATTGTTATATTGTGCGTGTGTGTATATATAATGTTAAAATATATTGTTTATATTATATTAATATTACATTAAAATATGTGATATTAAACTAGAAAGCATATCATATTAAACTAGATAAAATTGATAGATAAATGGAGAATGGATTGATAGATGAACAAATAGATAGATGAATGAATAGATAGATAAATGGATGAAGAAAGATAAGATTGATAAATGAGACAGATGACCCAATGGCCTTTGAGGAAAATGTAGAATGTAATCAGGAAAAAATATTAGAATTTAATTAAAAATATATATTACAAAGGAGAGATAGATGACGTGACGACCTTTGAGGAAAACGTATAATTTAATCAGGAAAAATATTTTTTTAAAAAATGGATAGATGACACAACAGCCTTTAAGGAAAATGTAGAATTTAATCAGGGAAAATATTAAATTTTAATCGGGATAAAAATTAAAATTTTAATATTAGCATTTAATCAAGAAAAATATTGGAATTTAATTAGTTAAAATATTAGAAAGAAGGATAACATAGAATTTAATCAAGAAAAGGAATGAGGAAAAAGATTAGAATTTAGTTGAGATAAGTTTTAGAATTTAAGGAAGAAAAGGATTAGAAGAGAAGAGAAACAAAAAGAGAAAGAAGAGATAGAACTGATGGTCTTTAAGGAAAACGAAGAATTCCACCAGGAGAAAGATTATAATTTAATCAGGAAAAATATTAGAAAGAAGAGATAGATGACCTGATAGTCTTTGAGGAAAACATAGAATCTAATCAGGAAAAATTACAGAATTTAATTAAAAGAATATTAGAAAGAAGAGATAGATGACCTGGTAGTCTTTGACAACCTTTGAGGAAAACTTAAAATTTAATCAGGAAATGTATTAGAATTTAATCGAGAAATATCAGAATGGAAGAGAAATGTTAAGAGAAATAAGAGATAGATGACCTGAGAGCCATTGAGGAAAACGTAGAATTTAACTGGGAAAAATATAAAAATTAAGTCAGGAATAATATTAGAAAAATATTACAATAGATGAGAATCAGGAAGAGAAAGAAGAGATAGGCCTGATGGTCTTTAAGGAAAACATAGAATTTAACCAAGAAAAGGATCAGAATTAAATCAGGAAAAATATTAGAATTTAATTAAAAAAAATATTAGAAGAGAAACAGGAAGAGAAAAAAGAGCTAGACCTCATGCTCTTTAAGGAAAACATAGAATTTAATCAAGAAAAAATATGAGAATTTAATTGAGAAAATTAGAATTAAATAAAAAAGAGATTAAGCAAGAATTAGAATTTAATAGAATATTGAGGAAAAATAGAAGTTAAAACAAATATTTTATAATTTAACTGAGGAAGAAATTGAATAGAATGAAGAAAAAATAGAATTTATGGTAATTAAGAAAAATAGAATTTAATCAAAAATGGCACATATATATATTATATAATATATATAAAATAAATGATGTATGATTCACCGCTTCGAGTTCCCTCTGGGTCTCGTCCTCCATCCTCCGAATATCTTCCATCGTCAAGTCGATCCATTTGTCCATCCAGCAAAAGAGCTGGCGGTGGAAATTGGTGAATATCCGCTTCTCTTGCTATTTAATTTAAATATACAAATAAAAATAAAACAGGATATTCTTCTCCTAAATAATCATTGCTTTATTATTTTTCATTTATTATTATTATTATTATTAATATTACCCTCTATTATTATTCACTAATTTATTATGATTATCGTTCTCTAACAGTTATTATAGTTTACATTATTATTGCCTTCCAGATAATAATAATGGTTAATGGCACTGTTATTAAGGGTTAACCAAATTGGCGTTTCATAGAGCACCCATTTGGTTAACCTCTAATAACAGTGCCATTAATTTAAGTTTTATATTTTTCATATTATATTACATATATATATACACACACACACATATATATACATTATTACATTTTATTACATTATGATATTTATTACTATTATTCAATGTTGTTCATTCGTTCAGTCGTCTCCGACTCTTCGTGACCTCATGGACCAGCCCACGCCAGAACTCCCTGTCGGCCGTCACCACCCCCAGCTCCTTCAAGGTCAGTCCAGTCACTTCAAGGATGCCATCCATCCATCTTGCCCTTGGTCGGCCCCTCTTCCTTTTGCCTTCCACTTTCCCCAACATAATTGTCTTCTCTATTATTCAATAGTTTATTATTATATTTTATTGTTATTATTATGGAGATTAATTTATATTTAATGTATTGTCGAAGGCTTTCATGGCCGGAATCACTGGGTTGTTGTAGGTTTTTTCGGGCTGTATGGCATGGTCTAGAATGCCATACAGCCCGAAAAAAACCTACAACAACCCAATTTATATTTATATTTTTCATATTATTATAACACATTGTACAGAAGTGTTTATAATAATATGCTTATAACTGTATTTATGTTTGTATTGGTTGCCCTTAGGCTGGAGCGGCCTAGCTGTTAGGAATGTGTTACCATGGAAACGAGGCAGAAGAGGAGGTGGGAGGAGCTTAGAGAGTTAAGGTTTTTGAAAAGTGACAGTTAGAGTCAGTCAGGGTTTTAGGCTCAGGGAAGAGCAGGTCAGGATTGAGACTCTGAGAAGTGAAGAGTCAGGTTTCAGTGTTCGTGAATAGTAGAGATTTCTTCAGTTAGGAAGCTGAAGGGGAAAACCTTGTTAGTTGCTTTAGTTAGAAAGAACTAACAGAGGCTTGTTAAGATCGCTAGTCGGGAGAAGACTAGAGATCTGTCGTTTGATCAAGGATAGATCAAACAGGGAGACTATTCACTGCAGGGAACACTGGTTAATAAAGTGCTTCACCACAGCAAGAGTTCATAAGTTGTAACATCGAAAGTCTGAATTGTATCGCAACCAAGTTACATGTAACCTTCAATTATTTGCCAAGCTTAACATCATCATACTGCAACCATACGCTTTGTTTAAAAATAAACTTGTTCTCTTTGGTTTTTGAAACTGCCTCATCTCCATTAATTCTACGTTCGTGTACCCAATCTCCCAAAATTACCTCACAACACAAACAGGGTGGCATCCAGTGGTATTAATACCAGAGCCTTTTACAAATCGGTGGCTCCTCTCTCCTAAACCTAAGGGTCTTCCTCACTAATTGGTGGCGATCTTTTACGACCTGGTAGCCGTCTCTTTACACACATACTTTTATTACATTATATTTTATATTACTATTATTCAATAACATACTATGATTTATATTATTATTATTGTTACTATCACCTTCCAAATAATAATGATTGATTTATTTTTACGATTATTATTACTATTTATAACATTTTTATTAGTAGTATATTTTATATTATGATTATTCCCGATCATTTTTATATTTTATATCATTTTATATTATTAGATTATTGTATTTTATAACACATAAAGGTAAAGGTTTCCCCTTAACACATTAGATTGCAAGCTCAGTCTTCTACGGCAAGCTATTAACTGCATTGCTGTTTCCTGCCACCTAGTGTTCGGTCTTATATTGCACACTCATAGTCTTCTATGGCAAGCTATTCATTGCATTGCCCTTTGGTGCCACCTAGTGTTCAGTCTTATATTGTAAGCTCATAGTCTTCGTTGCTGTTTATTCGTTCAGTCGCTTCCGACTCTTGGTACTCTCCTGGACCAGCCCACACCAGAGTTCCCTGTCAACCGTGGCCAGGGGCAGCTCGTCCATTACGCGAAGTAAGCGGTCGCAGAACACTTTTTTTGCCAGGGGCGCAGAGGCGCCTCTGTAAATGCCCCTCGATTGCCACTTGAGGAGCGCCCCCTCAGCTCACAACATCCCTAGCAGTCTGGGGCTTTCTTTCCTCGCTGCCGGGCGATCCTCTTCCCAAAGGAGCCGGGCCCTTGAGCCTCGCCTAGCCCCTCTCATTCCTGTTCCACCCAGCCACCGAGTGCGCGAGCAGAGCCGGCGCTCAATTGTTCTCCGCATTCGATCCCTTCCCCATGACTGGCTCCCTTTCCCGATCCCCCAGTGCTCCACCCGCCTCCTCTCCTCTCCCCAATCCGCGGGTGGGCCAAGGGGTGGAGCCGCCACGCCTGGCCCGCTTCAGGTCCGGAGGCATGTCTGAAGACCCCAGCGTGCACACCAAAAGTCGCCTCTTCTCCTGACTTTCTCTTCAGCCATTGGGACCAAGAGAGAGAAAGAGAGAGAGCCCCTCCGGCTGGAGGTATCTCCCACCTCCGCTCCCTCCTTTGTTTTTGCGCCTACCTTCAGGAAAGGTGGGCATCTCCACCTCTCTCTCTCTCTCTCGGTCCCAATGGCTGAGGAGAAAGTCAGGAGAAGAGGTGACTTTTGGTGCACACGCCGGGGTCTTCAGGCACGCCTCCGGACCCAAAGCGGGCCAGGCAAGGGAGCAAATGCGGCAAGTGTAGTTACTGGGATGTATAGTTCACCTACAATCAAAGAGCATTCTGAACTCCACCAATGATGGAATTGAACCAAATATGGCACACAGAACTCCCACGACAACAGAAAATATATATCAATGATTGGTTGGGGGGGGGGCAAAATACTGTTTGCTTACCGTTGAAAATTACCTAGGGCCGCCTCTGACCGTGGCCACCCCCAGAATACCCTCAATCCCCCTTGCCCTTGGTCGGCCCCTTTCTTTTTCCTTCCATTTTACCCAGTATCGTTGTCTTCTCCAAGCTTCCCTGTCTTCTCATTATGTGGCCAAAGGACTTCATCTTTGCTTCTGACATTAAGTCCAGTTGTGTCAGACTCTGGAAGCTGGTGCTCATTTCAATTTCTAAGCCAAAGAGCCAGCGTTGGCCGTAGACGCCTCCAAGGTCATGTGGCCAGCATGACAGCATGAAGCGCTGTTACCTTCCTGCCAGACTGGTATCTACTGTTCTACCCCCATTTGCATGTTTTTGAACTGCTAGGTTGGCAGAAGCTGGGGCTAACAGTGGGAGCTAGCCCTGTTTCCTGGATTCGAACCACCAACCTGCCAGTCAGCAAGTTCAGCAGCTCAGCGGTTTAACCTGCTGCACTACTGGGGGTGCATATTTTATAATATAATTATTCTTTTTAATATATATATAAATTAAAAAAATTATTTATAATTTTTATTGAATTTTGCTTTATAAAGTGCAATTAAAAAGAAAGGTAGGATCAGAAAAATGAACAAGGATAGGGATATACTATATATTATTTTGTCATTATGTTATAATTGTATTTTATATAATTTATTTTTATATTTTAATATTATTTATTTATATGATTGTATGTTGCATTATTATGCCCTAGCATATTATATTATACTATATATTATTTTGTCATTATATTATATTATATTATTATTGCATTTTATATAATATATCATTATATTTTAATATTAATATTATTTATTTATATTATTATATTTTACATTATTATTCTCTAGCATATTATATCATACTCTATATTATTTTGTCATTATATTATATTATTATTGTATTTTATATAATATTATATTTGAATATTATTATTTACCTTCTGGATGAAATTTTCTATCTTGTTCTGCAGTCCCCACCATCGGAATTTAATGGTCACCAATTTATAGGCGCACATTTTGGGACATTCCTCATTGGCTGCCAGCTCTTTCTAAGGAAATAAAAATATTAAAAATATTATAAATAATATTATAAGTAAGGATTATTTCTAAAATACCTTAATATACAAATATAATATACAAATATAAGAAATATAGTAATATACTATATTATAATAACAAATATAAAATAAGAAAAATGTAATATATTTATATTAAAATAAATGCAGAAGTAGCATATGATACTGTAAATCACTGGTTTCTCCTAAGAAAAATGTAATAAATATAATAAAATTTATATAATATATAATAATATAATAAAATTAATATAATGCATAATACCTTAGGGCAGTAATATAATATATTAAGGAATAATGTAATGTTTTCTAATATAATATAATACATATAATATAGATAACAACAAATCTAACAATAAAAATATAATATATAATGTAACAATAATACCTTCCAATCGGGTCCAAGGGGTCCTCTCTGCGTCTTGACCGACTGAAATAACGCCGGGTCTTCCTCTGCTTTGTAGTCCTTTTTATTAGGAAAATATAATAGAATATAATAAAATATATAAACCCCGCCCCATGACCCCGGAATGCCCTTTGACCCTGTGACTGACCCCGGGCTCGACTTGATCCCGGTCGGCGATGTCAATATCGATGACCTCGACCCCTTTCCAGGCATTCGGGTCCAAGTCATGGACCTGCATTAAAATTGGAAAAAAATAAAACGGGTTAATTAACAGAAAAAAATAATAAAAATATAATATTAAATATAATATTAATTTATTAAATAAACATTGTGTATTTGCAATTTTTAAAAATAAAACATAGCTAAAATCACAAATTGAAAATAAATATTAAAATATAGATTCAAAATAAAGATTAAATATAAAATAATAAATATTATAATGCGAATTTAAAATAAATTAAAAATAAATATTAAAAACCCAAAAATAGATATTAAAATAAGTATTTAAAATATAAAAAGAAAGAGTAAAATACAAAAACAAATTAAAATACAGGTGAAAAATAAATATTAAAAGTTTAAAAATAAATATTGAAATACATGAAGAATACAAAAATAAATATTATAATGCAAAATAAAATATAATGCACAAAATACAGATTAAAATAAATATTACTACACAAAAAATAGAGGTTAAAAATATTAAAATACAAAGAAAATAGATTGGAATACACAAAAATAGAGATTAAAAGTTAAAATACAGAAAATAAATATTAAAATACACATGATACAGATGATGCAATACAAACTAAAAGTGTTATAACACAAGAATGGTTTAAAAATAAATATTAAAATTTCAAATTAATAAATAACCCTTGGCAATAGCCTCCCCAAATACCATCCTGTCCCCCACCCAAGTGAAGGCTTTCATTCGGGGACAATTTCATCCTAGATGTTCTGTTTTTCTTACAGAATGGACATCCCAGGGTTCCTTTCTCTCTCTCCATTGGTGTGGAATTTGCATGACCCCGCCCATTGCCTCTCCCTTAACCCTCTCCTACTCTTCCCTATGACACAAAGCAAATGGGAATTGATCAGCAACTGATCAAGAGGTTTGAGGGGAATTGACCTTGATTTATAGGAGTTGCAGTTCACCTACATCCAGAGAGCACTGTGAACCCAACCAATGATGGATGTGCCACGGATTATGGGAAATGCAGTACTTTCACTCACTTCCTGAGACCACGACGACCCCCATCAATGACGGGCCTGGACCAAACTTGCCACACAGATCCCCATGACCCACTTGGTGAGGATTGCGGAAGGATGGACCAGGGACAATGGGATTTGCAGTACCTTCACCCACTTCCACAGGCCACTGTGACCCCCATGAATGACAGATGTGGATCACACTTCGAACACAGAACCCTGGTGAGCAACACAACATACTGGAGGTGTTTGTGGGGGGACCAATCTACCCTCATGGGAGTTGTAGTTCACCTTGCACCTAGAACACACTTCAAGCCCTGGAAATGGAAGTTCATCCTTATCCAGAGAGCCCTGAACCCAGCCAAAGACAGATCTATTACCTTACATCCCAAAACAAACAATGCCTTCTTCTAATAAATAAATATTAAAATACATTAAAAAAGTACATGGAAATGTATTGTAAAAAGCACAAATATTCTGCTGCAAAATAACACATTAAATACATTAAAATTAAATTAAAACAAAACTCACGTTTTCTGAGGTCCCCAAATCAGGTTTGTGCCATGTTTCGATCTTGATAAAGAAATCCTCCTTCATGTATTCGTTCTTATTTATAATAAAATATTAATTAAAACGGGAGATTAATTAACGTCTTACTATTTGTTTATTTCACCCTCCAAATAATAATAGTAATAATAATAATAATAATAATAATAATAATAATACTTACTGTTACAACTGAGTTCCAAAGAGGAGCAAATGGAAAAGAAAAAGGAGGCAAAATAAGAAGCGGATTATAATATAATAATAATAATAATAATAACACTTTATTTGTACCCCGCTACCATCTCCCCAAGGGACTCGGTGCGGCTTACATGAGGCCAGGCCCAATACAACAATACAAGCAATAATAACAACAATACAAGCAATTAAAAGTAAAAACATAGACAATAAAATATGCAACAATTAACAATAAGACAACACACAATTAAAACTGTGGGAAGGCCAAATGTAAAGTTAAAATTGGAAGTAATGCCGGGGCATGGGCGAAAAGGTGAAAGTGGTGTTTGTGGAAAACATACAAGCAGATCTAAAATGTAAAGTGCTTTGGAGGACAAAGTGCTATGGGATCATTATTCTGGGAAGGCACACTGGAACAACCACGTCTTCAAACTCCTCCTGAAGACTGCCAGAGTTGGGGCCTGCCTGATGTCCTTAGGGAGTGAGTTCCAGAGTCAAGGGGCCACCACCGAAAAGGCCCTCTCTCTCGTCCCCACCAATCGCGCCTGCGATGCAGGTGGGATTGAGAGCAGGGCCTCTCCAGATGATCAAAGAGATCGTGTGGGTTCGTATAAAGAGATGCGGTCATGCAGGTAGGCGGGTCCCAAACCGTTCAGGGCTTTGTAGGTAAGAACTTGCACCTTGAATTGGTTCCGGAAAATGAACGGCAACCAGTGGAGCTCCTTGAACAGGAGGGTTGACCGCTCCCTGTAAGGAGCCCCAGTTAACAACCTGGCCGCCGCCCATTGGACCATCTGGAATTTCCGAGCCGTTTTCAAGGGCAGCCCCACGTAGAGTGCATTGCAGTAATCCAGTCTAGAGGTGACTAAGGCGTGGACCACCTTGGCCAGATCCGCCTTCCCGAGGTATGTTCGCAGTTGGCGCATGAGTCTTAGTTGTGCAAAGGCCCTCCTGGCCACCACCACCACCTGAGCCTCAAATGTAATTGAAGAGTCCAGGAGGACCCCCAAACTGCGGACCTGTGACTTCAGGGGGAGTGTAACCCCATCCAGCACAGGTTGCCACCCTATACCCCAGTCTGGTTTACGATCGACAAGGAGGACCTCTGTCTTGTTGGGATTAATCTTCAGCTTGTTCGTCCTCATCCAGACAGCCACAGCGGTCAGGCACTCGTCTAGCACTCGAGGGGCTTCCTTGGAGTTAGGTGGAAAAGAGTAGTAGAGTTGTGTGTCATCTGCATAGAGATGGCACCCAACTCCAAAACTCCGGATGACCTCTCCCAGCGGTTTCATGTAGATGTTAAAAAGCATGGGAGACAGAATGGAGCCTTGCGGGACCCCACAGGTCAAAGGCCAGGGGTCCGAGCAGGCGTCTCCCAGCTTCACCATCTGGATCGACCCTCCAGGAAGGACTGGAGCCACGACAAAGCCGTATCTCCAAGGCCCATCCCGGAAAGTCGTCCCAGAAGGATACCATGATCGATGGTATCGAAAGCCGCTGAGACGTCCAAGAGAACTAAGAGGGTCACACTCCCCCTGTCCAGCTCTCTACGGAGGTCATCCACCAAGGCGACCAAAGCCGTCTCGGTGCCATGGCCGTCAGGTCTGAAGCCAGACTGTGATTAATAATAATAATAGTTATTAATATTATTATTATTGAAATATAGATTATTATTATATCTTAAAACTGTCATCATAGATATAATAATAATAATAATAATGATTAATCATAGATATATTATTATTAAAAAAGCCAGGATGAAAGCCAGGATGTTTCTGGATAGAAAAAAATATCTTATCATCTATATATATAAAAATGCTCTGTGCATAATGAGTTCCTTAAAAACAAAAGAACCAATGAACGAAATCACACCAAATTTGGCAACAAAATGTCTCACAACACAAGGAGTGACCATCACTCAAAAAATTATGATTTTGTCATTTGGGAGTTGTAGTTGCTGGGATTTATAGTTCACCTACAATCAAAGAGCATTCTGAACTCCATCAACGATGGAATTGAACCAAACTTGGCACACAGCACTCTCATGACCAACAGAAAATACTGGAAGGGTTTGGTGGGCATTGACCTTGAATTTGGGAGTTGTAGTTCACCTACATCCAGAGAGCACTGTGGACTCAAACAATGATGGATCTGGACCAAACTTGGCACAAGCACTCAATATGCCCAAATATGAACACAGATGGAGTTTGGGGGAAATAGACCTTGACATTTAGGATTTACAGTTCACCTACAATCAAAGAGGATTCTGAACCCCACAAATGACAGAATCGGGGCAAACGTCCCACACAGAACCCCCTTCACCAGGGCAAGAAAATGTAATCAAAATCCTCCTAATAAAGAGCCATCCAGCCATAGATATAGATGGATGGATGGATATGATTCTCTCTCTCACACACAGATATAGTATCATAAATTTGAAAGGGACCCTTAAAGAAGGACAATGATATGTTACATGTTCCAGAGCGGGCAAACCAGACACTCTCCACATCAACACTGAGAAAGAAACAACAAGAAATTCTGTTTACCCACAAGCATAAAGAAATTACATATATTAGAAACCAACACTTTCTCATTACTTTATTTTCCAGATCACCAGACTGGGCCACAGCAACACGTGGCAGGGGACAGCTAGTTCATTTATAATTTTTGAAACAACTATTATAAGAGACCTTATGACAATCCAAAAATTGTGGCAGACCAGAGGAGTCTGGCCCACCTGCTGCTCTGCTCCTTGGGAATCAAAGAATCCTAGAGTTGGAAGAGACCTGGTGGACCATCCAGTCCAACCCCATTCTGCCAAGAAGCAGTAAAATTGCCTTCACAGCACCCCCGACCATCCAGCCTCTATTTAAAAGCCTCCAAAGAAGGAGCCTCCACCACACTTGCTCCAGGGCAGAGAGAGACTTCCACTGCTCACAGTCTGGAAGTTCTTTCTCATGTTCAGGTGGAATCTCCTTTCTTTCCTGTAGTTTGAAGCCATTGTTCCATTGCATCCTAGTCTCCAGGGCAGCAGAAAACAAGCTTGCTTCCTCCTCCCTAGGTCTTCCTCAGTCTCACCTCTTGATCCCTGGGCTTCATGTGGTCTCCTCTCAGCTTTCTCTTCTTCAGGCTAAACATGCCCAGCTCTTTAAGCCACTCTCTTCTTATGGGGCTTGTTCTCTAGACCCTTGATCATTCCAGTCGCCCTCTTTCTCTGGACACCTTCCAGCTTAGAGTCAACATCTCCCTTCCATTGCGGTGGCCAGAATTGGACACAATGTGACCAAGGCAGACCACTTTTTCGCCCTTGCCATTATCACAGGCTCATCTTGTAAGCCTTCTCCTCTGTGGCCCCCCGATTCTGGAACTCATTGCCCGGTGAGATTAGGAAGGCCCCCACCTTAGAAATTTTCTAGGATTCTTTGATTCCTCAAAACCTGGCTTTTCCGATGCACTTTTGGAGAGTAGCCATACTATCATACACAGTTGCTCCCCCTCAATTGTTTTTTGTCCCCAGAGTATATTCCCCACCTGTATGAAGGTCTATATTTATGACCCCGTTCCTTACGAGTTTCTCCCCCACAAACAATCTGCTCCATCCCTATCTCATCCTGATTTTAGTATTTTTAGTATCTTAGTTTTTATCTTGCACATGCAGCCCGCTCATTGTTATGTTATGTTATTTTATTTTACTGTGCATGATTTTGCTTTATCGTTTTTGTACTCATATGTTGTATGTATTTTACTGTGTTGTTATTGTGCTTTGGTTTTACCTTATTGTAATATGCTGTTGGGCTTGGCCTCATGTAAGCCGCCATCGGGGAGATGGTGGCGGGGTATTAAATAAAGATTATTATTATTATTATTATTATTATTATTATTATTATTATATAATATTATTATAATATTATAATAATAATAATAATAATAATAATAATAATATTAGTATTATGTAATTATTATAATAATATGGAGCCCCCGGTGGCGCAGTGGGTTAAAGCACTGAGCTGCTGAGCTTGTTGATCGAAAGGTCGCAGGTTCAATTCCGGGGAGCGGTGTGAGCTTCCGCTGTCAGCCCTAGCTTCTACCAACCTAGCAGTTTGAAAACATGCAAATGTGAGTAGATCAATAGGTACCGCTCCGGCGGGAAGGTAACGGCGCTCCATGCAGTCATGCCAGCCACATGACCTTGGAGGTGTCTACGGACAACGCTGGCTCTTCGGCTTAGAAATGGAGATGAGCACCATACCCCAGAGTCAGACATGACTGGACTTAATGTCAGGGGACTACCTTTACCTTTTACCATTATTATTATTATTATTATTATTATTATTATTATTATTATTATGGCAGAATAGAATAGAGGGGGTGGGAAAGAATGACTTCCCTGAATCTAGGCACTAGGCTCCTCTTGATGCAGGCCAAAATCCCATTGGCTTTTTTTGCCGCCGCATCACATTCCTGGCTCATGTCCCCACGAGGACTCAAGATCTTTTTCACACGTACTACTGTCGAGCCAGGCATTGTCCCCCATTCTGAAGGAGAGAGATGGTGTATTTTGGAGTCATGTATGTATCTTGGGAGTGGCAGATCTGCAATGGAACACAGTCTGGTCACTTGGCCTCCTTTTTCAAGGAAAGAGGAAGGAGTGCGATTTTGAAGTTTTGGATTTTGTGCAGGGAGTTAGGTTCTGCTGTATGGCAAACAAGGGTCTGGTTCTTGGCATTGTGCTTAGGGAAGAGGATGCATTTTAGAAGTTTTGGAACTATGCATTGGCAGATTTTCAGGGAGTTGTAGCCCAAAACCACTGCTCTAGAGCAAACTTGCCCCACCTAACAAACTAACTCCTGATGGAGTTTTTCGGAGTTAACCTGACATGATGTGAGTTGTAGTTCTTCACCCACAACCTTATACATTTTGTACAATTACAAAATCGACTTCTTCAAATAACCCAAGCAATGCCAGGGACCCAAGCTAGTAAAATATATTGGTTTTTGATTGATTATTGGTAATCAATACTCACTGGTTCGACAATAGGGATAGGCATTCCAGGCCTTTTCGTGGAAAACCAGAGAACCTTCAGGAGCAAACATTCGGACAAAGCCAGGAACTTTGCTGAGAATAAAAGAAATATATATCAAAATAAATAACATTAATAAAAATAAAGAATATATAATAAAATATAATATTGGATAATAATGGATAATAATAAATAACAATTAACAATTAACAATTACCAATAATAATAATAATACTTTAAAGTAATAAATAATGTAACATAATAATAATAAATAATTTCCATAATGTATAATAATAAAAATTATGAAATACAATCATAATAGATAATATTTAATAACAATACATATAACATAATGGATAATAAGTAATACTAAATAATAGGTAATACTGGATAATAATATTGATGATATTAAAAATAGATAATATTCAATAATAAATTACATTATAATATTTATTAAATATTATCTATTTATTTATTATTTATTAAATATTATCTAATAGAAATGGAAGAAGTCAGCAATGCCATCAGCCAAAAAAATAATAATAATAACAAAGCCAGCGGACCTGATGGGATCCCTGCTGAAATCTTTAAAGAGGGAGGACCTGAGCTGACACAACAACTCCACCAGCTCATAGAAAAAGTATGGGTGACCGAGAAAATCCCAGCAGATTTCAAGGATCATCACCCTCTTCAAAAAAGGGGGAAGAACAAACTGCGGAAACTATCGCGATATCTCCCTTCTAACCTCCGCTGGGAAAATCCTCGCAAGAATCCTTGCAAACCGCCTTCAACCCCTCTCAGAAGACAGCCTCCCAGAATCCCAGAATGGCTTCTGCCCCTACAGAGGAACTGTGGACATGATCTTCATTGCACGACAGCTCCAAGAAAAATGCAGTAATCAGCCTCTGTATATGGCATTCATTTACCTTGAAAAGGCATTTGACACAGGTAATCGCAGCACTCTCTGGACCATCCTCCAAAAAATCGGGTGCCCTGACAAATTTGTGAACATCCTGTGATTTCTCCATGATGACAACAGTCTTGGACAGCAATGGCTCCCAAAGTGACCCATTTAAGGTGGAATCGGGTGTCAAACAGGGATATATTATTGCCCCAACTTTATTCTCCACCTTCATCGGTATGATACTTCACCTTGTTGATGGGAAGCTTCCCACCGGAGTGGAAATCATCTATCGGACAGATGGCAAGCTATTTAACCGCAGCAGACTGAAAGCCAAAACCAAGGTTACAACAACATCTGAAGACCTGGATGTTTGTGCAGGCGTTTGAGTAATTCAGTGCAATTTTGGTAATTTGAACATAGGAACGGAACAATGGACGAACGAATTTGGATCACGCTTGGATGATGAGGCGATCGGGGATGGGATTTGTGATAATTGTGTATTGATGATTGTTTATTAGTTATTAATGGATATGTGTAACTTAACTGTAATTGTATATTAGTTATTGCTGTTTTTATTGCCTTTGCTGTTTGGAAACCGCTGTGAGTCGCCCTCGGGCTTGAGATGCAGCGGTATACAAGAATAGTAAATAAATAAATAAATAAATCTGTTATAGAACTCCAATATGCTGATAACAATGTCATCTGTGCGCATTCAGAAGAAGACCTACAAGCAGCCACCTCTCCACCAAAGTCAACATCAAATACAACACCGCCTGAGCTCTGCGAGTGCAGCATTTTTCCGAATGAAGCAGAGAGTGTTTGAGGACCAGGACATCCATTAGAAAATGTTGACCATTTCCGCTCCCTTGGCAGCCACCTCTCTACCAAAGTCAACATTGACACCGAAATACAACACCGCCTGAGCTCTGCGAGTGCAGCATTTTTCCGAATGAAGCAGAGAGTGTTTATAAAGCTATTGTCCTCCCAACCCTGCTGTATGCCTGTGAGACGTGGACTGTCTACAGACGTCACATGCAACTCCTGGAGCGATTCCATCAGCGTTGCCTCCGGAAAATCCTGCAAATCTCTTGGGAAGACAGGCGGACAAACATCAGCGTGCTGGAAGAAGCAAAGACCACCAGCGTTGAAGTGATGGTCCTCCGCCATGAACTCCGCTGGGCCAGCCACGTTGTCTGGATACCCGACCACCGTCTCCCAAAGCAGTTGCTCTACTCCGAACTCAAGAACGGAAAACGGAATGTTGGTGGACAGGAAAAGAGATTGAAAGATGGGCTCAAAGCCAACCTTAAAAACTCTGGCATAGACACTGAGAACTGGGAAGCCCTGGCCTGTGAGCGCTCCAGCTGGAGGTCAGCTGTGACCAGCAGTGCTGCAGATTTTGAAGAGGCACGAATGGAGGGCGAAAGAAAAAAACGTGCCAAGAGGAAGGCGCATCAAGCCAACCCTGACCGGGACTGCCTTCCACCTGGAAACCGATGCCCTCACTGCGGGAGAAGATGCAGATCAAGAATAGGGCTCCATAATCACCTACGGACCCAACCTGGAGGATTATCCTACTCGGACAATGAGGGATCGCCTAACCCTAAATCCTCCCTCCAAGGACATTGCAAGTTACAGCAGGCGCCATGAACATGTCTCCCAACCCTTGCCAATGTCCTCCCCAAACACCATAATGTCCGCCACTCAAGTGAAAGTATCTTAGATGTTCTGTTTTTCCTCCAGAATGGATATCCCGGAGTTCATTTCTTTCTCTCCATTGCTGTGGAATTTGCATGACCCCGCCTCTCCCTTTTCCATTCCCTACCCTTTCCTATGGCACACAGCAAACAGGAACAAGAGATTTGGGGGGAATTGATCTTGATTTTTGGGAGTTGTAGTTCACCTACATCCAAAGAGCCCTGAACCCAGCCAACATCGAATCTGGATCAGACTTGGCACAGAGACCCAACATGGCCAACTGTGCATACAGGCCTGGTTTGAGGAGGATTGACCAGGCAAATTCTTCACAGTAAGCTGCCAAATGATCAGGGATCCTTTCTTGCGACCCAGGATTTAACAATCCTCTGACAACTCAGCTGGACGGTTCTTGGCGGACACAATGTTGGCTGCAATGAGAGATTTGCCTGTGGCCTTCACTGCCGCAGAATATGCCTCTAGATAGGCACATAACTCTGTTCGGTCTGATTCACTGAGAGATGAATGCCACATGCCATCTAGTTCCCTCTTCATTCGCTTCATCACTGCCAGTTCTTCGTTCAACCCAGGTGCTGGTTTAGCTCTGTTTGTGAGAGGGGATGTTCCGCAGCAATTGTATCTATTGCCCTAGTCACCTCCCCATGACCAGAGCATCAACAGGATCTCCTATCAAGGTGGTGGGAAATTCCCCAAGAACCAACAGGAATCCGTCCAGATCCATAAATCTCCTGGGGTGGACTATTCTAATTGGTCCTCCACCCCAGCAGAGGTTAGGAGGTGCAGTAAGTCTAAACCTGATCAGGTGATGGTCGGTCTACAGCAACAGAGCAATGGTGAGCTCCTCCACACCGCCACCTTTCTCCCATCCCCCTTTAGAAAACCAAGTCTACCATGTGCCCAGCTCTGTAGGTAGGGCCAGAAACTAATTGGGACAGCCCCACAGTTGCAATTGGTGGCCATGAAAAATAATATAATAATAAATTGAAGGAAAAGTTGACAAGGAGAAGTCCTGGTTATAATAATAATAATAAACCTTTATTTGTACCCCGCTACCATCTCCCGAAGGACTCGGTGCGGCTTACAAGAGGCCGAGCCCAAATACAACAATAAAAACAGCAGCAACAACAACAACACAATAACTCAAAAAACAAAGCAATAACATTAACAACACCCAATGACGCAATTAAAAACAATGGCTGGGCCAAATGTAATCATTAAAATTAAAAGTGCTGGGCACGACAAGGTGGGGTGTTTGGAGGGGGATGGGCATGCAGATATCCTGGATCTCTGATAAAGTGCGTTGGGACATAATGCTAGGAGTTTCCTTATTCTGGAAAGGCACACTGGAACAACCACGTTTTCAAGCTTCTCCTAAAGATTGCTAGCGACGGGGCCTGCCTGATGTCCTTGGGGAGAGAGTTCCAGAGTCGAGGGGCCGCCACCGAAAAAGCCTTGGCTCACGAATGGAACCCTGAAGAAGGAGACAGAAGGCCTGATTCTTGCAGCCCAGGAGCAAGCCATCAGAACCAATCCAATTAGGGCCAGGACTGAAAAATCAGCTGATGTCCCAAAATGCAGACTATGCAAGGAAGCTGATGAAACCATGGATCATATCCTCAGCTGCTGCAAGAAAATCAAACAGACGGGCTACAAACAGAGGCACAACTCTGTGGCCGAGATAATTCATTGGAAATTATGTCACAAGTACCACCTGCCAGTAGAAAAGAACTGGTAAAGGGATCATAAACCTGCAAAGGTAGTGAAAAATAAACACGCAAAAATACTGTGGGACTTTCGAATCCAGACTGACAAAGCTTTGTAACACAATACACCAGACATCACGATTGTGGAAAAGAAAAAAGTTTGGATTATCGATGTCGCCATACCAGATGGCAGTCGCATTGAGGAAAAACAACAGGAAAAACTCAGCCATTATCAGGACCTCAAAATCAAACTGCAAAGGCTCTGGCATAAACCAGTACAGGTGGTCCCAGAGGTCATCGGCACAGTGGGTGCCGTGCCAAAAGATCTCAGCCGACATTTGGAAACAGTAAACACTGACAAACTGACGATCTGTCAACTGTAAAAGGCCACCTGACTTGGATCTGCGCGCATCATTCGAAAATACATCACACAGTCCTAGACGCTTGGGAAGTGTTCGACTTGTGATTTTGTGATACCAAATCCAGCATATAAATCTCATTTGCTGTGACATACTGTGTTTTTGTGTCAGTAAAATAATAATGAAAATGTGTCATCTAAATGTAATAATAATATAATCAAAATAAAAATTAAATAATGGCACACCTCTTGAGGTGGTAGATCTTGTGTGTGTATTGCCCCTTTTCTCCCTCGTTCTCGAAGGGCTCGTTAGTCAAGACCTGTATGCCTTCCCCGCCGCCCGTCTCGTTCTTGCTGGCCTCCGCCACCGAGTACAGTTGGCCCACTTGGTACTGCAAACATAAACAAGTAAACAAATCGTTCAGATCAGGATCACATTCTTCTATTTCTTCTATAACATTATACATATATTATTGTATCAAGATATTATTGTATTACATAATATTATTATATTACATTATATTTTTATTAATTCTTGCAGCCCAGGAGCAAGTCATCAGAACAAGGGCAATTAGGGCAAGGACTGAAAAATCAGCTGATGACCCAAAATGCAGACTGTGCAAGGAAGCTGTTATATATTACTATAATGTAATTATATTATATAGTATCATATGATATTATATTGTTATTATATATTATTGCTATTATTACTGTTACATCATAATATTATTTTCTTTATTATTATATATTATTACTATATTGTTATTATATATGTTATTGTATTATTATTTTATTTTATTACTATTATACTATATTTTTCCTATTTTAAAACAACACATTGTATATTATTCATATTATATATACATTTGTATTTATAATTTATAATAATATATTGTATTGCATTTCATATCTATATTTTTATGTATGCATTTATATTTTTTATATTTAAAAATAATATACAATGTTTTAAAATAAATATAATACATGATACTATATATATATATATATATATATATATATATCCCATTGAATACCTACATATTATTAATTGAATATTATTAATTTAATGATTAATGATATTGATTAAAAGAGAACATACCTCTTGGACAGAGCAAGGCAGCACCACACGACTAAAAGAAACAGAATAAATACAATTAATAAGGAATGATAATAATAATGTATAATAATAATAATGGTTAATAATGGATAATAATAATCATAATGGAATATAATAATGATAATGGATAATAATGGAAATTAATAATAACAATAACTGATAATAATAATAATAATAATAATAATAATAATAACGGATATAGTGAAATAATAATAGACAATTATAATACATACACACACACACATATATATAAAAATAGTCTTTTAATATATGCATTTCAATGGTCATGATTAATAGATATAAATTTTTATATTTGTATCCATTGAAATATATCTATTAAAAGACTAGTAATAATAATAAATTAAAAGATAAGTAATAATAATAAATTCAAATAATAATTTAATATATTATTATTCTTTGAATGTATTATTATTATTATTTATCTTTTAATTTATTATTAATAGTCTTTTAATAGATGTATTTACATTAATAATACTATATTGAAATACTCAGAATAAGGGGATACTATTAATAGTATATGAAAAAAAGAATAATTATAGAATAATATATAATAATATAAAATATAATAACTATTACGATTATTTATATATTATAGTAAAACTCAATATTACTGTTTATTCTTACAATATAATTAATGTATGTATATATCTTAAATGTGTTAAAAGACTAGTAGTAATAATAATATTAAAATAATACTAATATTAAAATAATACTAAAATAATATGTATATATCTCAAATGTGTTAAAAGACTAGTAGTAATAATAATAATATTAAAATAATACTAATAATAAAATAATACTATACTATTAAAATAATACTAAAATAATATGTATATATCTCAAATGTGTTCAAAGACTAGTAGTAATAATAATAATTTTAAAATAATGCTAATATTAAAATAATACTATACAAGTTAAAATAATACTAAAATAATATGTATATTATCTCAAATGTGTTAAAAGACTAGTAGTAATAATAATATTAAAATAATACTAATATTAAAATAGTACTATACTATTAAAATAATACTAAAATAATATATATATATCAAATGTGCTAAAAGACTAGTAGTAATAATAATAATAATATTAAAATAATACTAATATTAAAATAATACTATACTATTAAAATAATACTAAAATAATATGTATATATCTCAAATGTGTTAAAAGACTAGTAGTAATAATACTAATATTAAAATAATACTTGCAATATAATTCATACATTATATTTAATATATAAACCTATCTACTATCTATAACAATATATAATAAATCATATGTATATATATATTATATGTATCTATACTTATATATTAGGTATTCATTATAATATATATTTATATATTGTATTATATATTTAAATTTTATTATATATGATAATATACAGATATATTATATATGTATATTAAAATTATATGTATATTAAAAGATAAGTAATAATAATAAATTCAATATATATTATATGTATATATGATAAGCAATAATAATAAATTCAATATATATTATATGTATATATAATATAATATATATAATATAATATTATATGTATAATATAATATTATATGATATTATATGTAAATTCAATATATATTATATGTATATATAATATGGATACATATATATATATATTAAGACAATTGAATCGGTAACACTATTAATTAACAGATTTAATAATAAAAATAACAATAATAATCAATGGAATAGGCTGAAATCTCACAATTCCTTGACGAGCACCATCTCCGGAGGCGAACTGAGAGGAAAAGGCAGTGCGCATGCGTGGGCCGGCAAGGACAGGCACTTCCGCGAAGGGCGGGTCCTGAAACGTGACGTCAGACTATACAGCCACGCCTCTTTCCGAGGGAAACCAATCGCGAGCCGCAATTCGTGACGTCGCCCCGCCTTTTTCTTTGCCTCGCAACCAATCAGGGCCGAGAAAGAAAAAGATTAGACTTCGCTGAGGTAAAATCTCTCTTAAATATATTTACTTATTGATTCTATCGGCTTCACCAACGAGAAAAGGGCTAGAGCGTCAACGGAGGGATTCAGCCATGTTGAATGAGGCCTATACTTCCGGTTTTACCGGAAATGGGGCGCATAAGCTCTAATAAAGCCCCCGTGTTGCGTTATTTATCTTCCCCTTTGAAACATCAACGCGTTGTTAAGTGCCGCACAGTTCCGTTTTTAAATACTTCCCTCGACAAAGGCGAGCGAGGCTTTTTGGTTCCGCACCAGAAATGTTAAGGTTTGGAGACGGAAATGAGGGGTTTCCATACTGTTCTTACAGCTGAACATTCTTAATAGCTCCAAATAATATAATTATGTGTATTGTTTCCTTTATTTGTGTATTGTTTCCTGGCCGCTCTAAATGAGTTCAAGTCCCCAGGGCCAGATCAACTACACCCAAGAGTCATTTCGGAAGTCATTTCCGAACCATTGGCAATCATCTTTGAGAGTTCTTGGAGAAGTTCCAGCAGACTGGAGGAGGGCCAATGTGGTCCCAATCTTCAAGAAGGGAAAAAAGGATGACCCAAACAACTACCGTCCGGTCAGCCTCACGTCAATACCAGGCAAGATTCTGGAAAAGATTGTTAAGGAAGCGGTCTGCAAACACTTAGAAACAAATGCGGTCATCGCTAATAGTCAACACAGATTTATCAAAAACAAGTCATGCCAGACTAATCTGATCTCTTTTTTCGATAGAGTTACAAGCTGGGTAGATGCGGGGAATGCCGTGGATGTAGCGTACCTGGATTTCAGTAAGGCCTTCAACAAGGTCCCCCATGACCTTCTGGCAAGGAAACTAGTCCAATGTGGGCTAGGCAAAACTACGGTGAGGTGGATCTGGAATTGGTTAAATGGACGAACCCAGAGGGTGATTCTCCCCAATGCTTCCTCCTCATCCTGGAAAGAAGTGACGAGCGGAGTGCCACAAGCAGGGTTGCGTCCTGGGCCCGGTCCTGTTCAACGTCTTTATTAATGACTTAGATGAAGGGCTAGAAGGCATGATCATCAAGTTTGCAGACGACACCAAATTGGGAGGGATAGCCAATACTCCAGAGGACAGGAGCAGAATTCAAAACGATCTTGACAGACTAGAGAGATGTGCCAAAACTAACAAAATGAAGTTCAACAGTGACAAATGCAAGATACTCCACTTTGGCAGGAAAAACGAAATGCAAAGATACAGAATGGGGGACAATGCCTGGCTCGAGAGCAGTACGTGTGAAAAAGATCTTGGAGTCCTCGTGGACAACAAGTTAAACATGAGCCAACAATGTGATGTGGCGGCAAAAAAAGCCAATGGGATTTTGGCCTGCATCAATAGGAGCATAGTGTCTAGATCCAGGGAAGTCATGCTACCCCTCTATTCCGCCTTGGTTAGACCACACCTGGAATATTGTGTCCAATTCTGGGCACCACAATTCAAGAGAGATATTGACAAGCTGGAATGTGTCCAGAGGAGGGAGACTCAAATGATCAAGGGTCTGGAGAACAAGCCCTATGAGGAGCGGCTTAAGGAGCTGGGCATGTTTAGCCTGAAGAAGAGAAGGCTGAGAGGAGATATGATACCCATGTATAAATATGTGAGAGGAAACCACAGGGAGGAGGGAGCAAGCTTGTTTTCTGCTTCCTTGGAGACTAGGACGCGGAACAATGGCTTCAAACTACAAGAGAGGAGATTCCATCTGAACATGAGGAAGAACTTCCTGACTGTGAGAGCCGTTCAGCAGTGGAACTCTCTGCCCCGGAGCGTGGTGGAGGCTCCTTCTTTGGAAGCTTTTAAACAGAGGCTGGATGGCCATCTGTCAGGGGTGATTTGAATGCAACATTCCTGCTTCTTGGCAGGGGGTTGGACTGGATGGCCCATGAGGTCTCTTCCAACTCTTTGATTCCATGATTCTATGATTTTTGTATTGTAATAATAAGGCGGAAATGATACAAATCTCATGCTTTTTAAAATTACCGTCCTGTCTCTAACCTTCCATTCTTAGGCAAGATGATAGAGCGGGCCGTATTGGGACAATTGCAGCAATTTTTGGATAACACAGCCGGCCTGGATCCTTTCCAGTCAGGTTTCCGCCCTGGCCATGGGACAGAGACAGTCCTGGTTGCCATTACGGATGAACTTCGTCGCCAGTCTGATAACAGCGGATCAGCGCTACTGGTACTTCTGGACCTTACCTCAGCGTTTGACACCGTTGACTACAATTCACCGTCTTGCCATGTCCGGAGTTCGCGGTCAGGCCCTCAATTGGTTCGATCTGTCATTTCTCCCTCAGTATCCACGCATCCATGTCTTACACTTCTTCTTTGACCCCTGAACCCTCTTGCTGACCTCCATAGGTGCACCGGTTCTCCCAGGAACCTCACTATCCACCAATCACCACCTTTCCCTTTTTGCCTATGTACTCTAATTCCCACAAACCCCTTGCATGTGCCTCACTCTGAGTTCCATAATAATAATAATAATAATAATAATAATAATTATTATTATTATTATTTATACCCACCATCTCCCAAGGGGACTTTGGGTGGCTTACATGAGGCCAAGCCCAGCAATACAATACATCAATATAAACAGAACACAGCACTAAAATGTAAAACCATTTTAAATAACACAACAATATAAAATCACAACATTTAAAACACAGAAATCAATCACTGTGGGCAGAGCCGATTCAAATAAATTAAAAAAAACTTTAAAAAAAACTGGGTGAGACAGAAGTGTAATGTATCTGGTTTTCAAGCTCTTCCTGAAGACTGCCAGGGTGGGAACTTGCCTAATATCTCTGGGGAGCGAGTTCCAGAGCCGAGGGGCCACTGCAAAGAAGGCCCTCTCCCGTGTCCCCACAAGTTGCACCTGCGAACAGGGCGTGAGCGAGAGAAGGGCCTCTCTGGAAGATCGAAGAGATTGTGTAGGTTTGTAAATGGAGATGCGGTCACGTAGGTAGGCGGGTCCCAAACCGTTCAGGGCTTTGTAGGTAAGAACCTGCACCTTCAATTGGGACCAGAAAATAAACAGCAGCCAGTGGAGCTCCTTAAACAGGGGGGTTGACCACTTCCTGTAATTCGCTCCAGTTAGTAGTCTGGTTGCCACCCGTTGGACCAATTGAAATTTCTGGGCCGTCTTCAAGGGCAGCCCCACGTAGAGCGCATTGCAATAATCCGATCTGGAGGTAACTAAGGCGTGGACTACCACCGCCAAATTTGACTTCACGAGGTACGGTCACAGCTGGCGAAAGCCCTCCCAGCCACCGCCGACGCCTATGCTTCAAGCATTAGTGAGGAGTCTAGGAGGACACCCAAGCCGCGGACTCGTGACTTCAGGGAGAGTGCAATCCCGTCAAACACAGGTTGCCACCCTATACCTTGATCCGGCTTACAATCGACCTGGAGGACCTGTCTTGATAAGATTCGTCCTCATCTACACTGTCAAAGTGGCTAGGCAATCGTCCAGCACCCGAGGGGCTTCCTTGGAATTAGGTGGAAAGGAGTAGTAGAGTTGAGCGTCATCTGCGTAGAGATGGCACCGAACTCCAAAACTCCAGATGACCTCTCCCAGCGATTTCATGTAGATGTTAAAAAGCATGGGAGACAGAATAGAACCCTGTGGGACCCCACAGATCAAAGGCCAGGGGTCCGAGCAGGTGTCCCCCAGCTTCACCGACTGGGAGCGACCCTCCAGAAAGGACCGGAGCCACAGCAAAGTCGTGCCCCCAAGACCCATCCCGGAGAGCCGTCCCAGGATACCATGGTTGATGGTATCGAAAGCCACTGAAATGTCCAAGAGAACCAACAGGGTCACACTCCCCCTGTCCAGCTCCCTGCGGAGGTCATCCACCAAGGTGACTAAAGCAGTCTCTGTTCTGTGAACAGGCCTGTGTCTAGATAATCAGTGTCCTTTAGGAATCCCTGGAGCCGTGTCGAAACTAACCTCCGTGGATATCAAAAACCATTGGGGTTCCATGGGTAATTTGTGTACGTTTTCCCTTCCTGTGGGTTGCCCTCTGCTTAGATAATTGGGTTCCCTCACTATCTGCAGGCCTTTTGTGTGTTTTTGTCTAATCTCTCATATTTTAAATCTATATAAATAAAAATGTAATGTTCGTTTGTGGGATTAACAGAACTCAAAAACCACTGGACGAATTGATACCAAATTTGGACACAAGACACCTAACAACCCAATGTATGTCCTTCACTCAAAAAAATTGATTTTGTCATTTGAGAGTTGTAGTTGCTGGGATTTATAGTTCACCTATAATCAAAGTGCATTCTGAATGCCGCCAACGATGGAATTGAACCAAACTTGGCACACAGTTCTCCCATGACCAACAGAAAATACTGGAAGGGTTTGGTGGGCAGTGTCCTTTGGTTTTGGAGTTGTAATTCACCTACATCCAGAGAGCACTGTGGACTCAAACTATAATGGATCTGGACCAAACTACACAAATACTCAATATGCCCAAATGTGAACATTGGTGGAGTTTGGGGAAAATAGAGCCTTGACATTTGGGAGTTGTAGTTGCAGGGATTGGTACAATCACAGAGCATTCTGAACCCCACCAACAATAGAATTGGGCCAAACCTCCCACACAGAACCCCCATGACCACCAGAGTGGGCCACAGCAACACGTGGCAGGGAATGGCTAGTATTATTATAAAATTCTGAAGAAGTTTGGCCACCAAGTCCTATGATGACCTTTTGCCTACATATCCTGACCAGGAAGTCCAACCTGCTGTCTTTGTGGGCTTTATCTACATCACCCTTCATCTTTGGGCTAGTCCAGCTCTACAACCCCATAAAATCCAGCTGTGCAGA